AAGCTTCTTACTGACAAACACAAAATTCCTCGTCAAAAACTTCTGTACCGTACTTTCGCCCTCAAGTAGCGAAGAACGACGACAATACCGGAGACGATGCAAGTTCGCCTAATTTACCATGCACCCGCCGTGCGTGCGTTTGTACCCCCCAAAGCATTTGGTCTTTTGTTTCCTACCGTTTATGGGAATCATGAAGCTCATTCAGTGCGAATAGCGTCTCCTTTATTTGACTTGCAAAGGCATATTTACGGCAAAGAAAGGACACAACTAAACTTGAGTCCTGCCGGCGTCTTTGAAGGGAACCTCGAGCTCTTGGTTTGTTTCTTGGCCCTGAGGAGCGGACATTGACCCTGGACAGAGTCGATCGAAGATTTTCGAGGAATAAACTTGATAATTTCCGACGTAGATTAGTTAATTGGACTTTACGACAGCACATGTTTAGTTGCCAAATGCAAGGGGGACAGAATTCTTAGAACTTGGCATCTCCCTTAGATGAAATGCACCTTCTCATAAATGCACCTTCTCGCGAAGCGCATATTTGGTCCTTGATTTTTTCATTTGAAAAGCGAGGGTCATTTATTAAGACTGATAAATAAACATAAGTCAGTCTTTTGAACTTACCCTGAGCTATTTAGGCTTTGGTCCGTTTTGCGTGCTGTTGTCTTATCTGCTTAGCCGTTAATTCGATTTAATTATTTATTGTCCAAGTTGATATCTCTAATAATTAGTATTTATTATACAAATTTGTACTAATTGCACTTCTACGGGTCAAAACTGAAACACAGCTTAATGTTATATCTGGAACATCAAGAGAAAATTCTTTACTGACTATTGAATAGGATTGTAATCAAATCTCAAACAAAATAGAAACTCTAACATACTATTAAAAACTCCTATTATTTGATTTCAATAGATTATATTAATCATCAACAAATGATAGATTTCACAATTCAATTTTCCCGTAATTGGTCACCTACCTTGTTCGCCTATTCAACCAATTATCTACGGACACGATGACGACACGTTGATGGCACATTAATCACGTTGACGAAAAGTTGAACACGTTAATGATACGTTGAACACGTTAATGACACGTTGAATAAGTTGATGAACATTATTCGTTGCTCGATCATCGGCCGATCAGAACAGTATTGTAGATTCTCATGATGCCATTTATTACAAAGATCGTAGGAATGACAATATAAAAATATTCGTTTAAAAATTACTTTTTAAAGACAACACTTATTAAGAATCCAGTGTCTCCACTGTTACACAAGCACAATGAATTTCTCATTTTATTTCCGAATATTTAAAAAAAATTGCATTTTCAATTTTTCAAAATATAAATTTTTTTCAAAATTACTTATTCTGTCAATTAATTCATGCATTGCCTCTGACTTCACACAAGTGTGCAAAATTTCAGATCAATTGGACAGGTAAAAGTTTGTCATATGTCAGTTATAGGATTTGTAGCTGACAAAATTATTTTTTCCAATTTTTTGGTAATGAAAAAAATATTATTTTACAATTATTTATTTTGTCATTTGATTCATGCATTGTCTCCAGCTTCACATAAGTGTGCAAAATTTCTGATCAATTGGACAGGTAAAAGTGTGTCAAATATCAATTATAAGATTTGTAGCTGACAAAATTATTTTTTAAATTTTTTAATATTGAAACATTTTTTAATTATTCATTTTGTCATTTGATTCATGCACTGTCTCCAACTTCACGCAAGTGTGCAAAATTTTCGATCGATAGGATAAGTAGAAGTGTGTTAAATATCGTTTATAATATTTGTAGCAGGCAGACAGACAGACAAACAAGAAGTGAAGTTAAAGAGAAGTGTTGTAAAAATTATCTGCAATTAAAAGTATAACACACGAAATTCAATGACCAGTGAGATTGAGCGGTATAATCCAGAAATACGAGACACTCGGTTCGCACTTTGACAAGTTATCTATACAATTTTTGACAATTCCCTGTGATTGCTTATTAATTTCAACTCTAAATTGATCTATTTTTAACTGCATGTACTGACATGTGGAATCATTACAACCGCTGGGAAACATCGAAGGTCAAAGACAACACCGAAATAATTTTTGAGAGTTTTTAAGCGACAAAATCATTTGCCTCTGAATATTCAGAATTAGATAATCGTATCTATTCAGCAAGATGCTTTTCTTCAGAGATCCTATTTTTGTATGAACAAGTTATGGTTTCTTCAGTGCACCGCCTGCTGTATGAGATTTAATGTTCATTAACAATTTCCGCCACCATCAAATCCAAATTATTTTGTCATCTTCCAATGGAAAGTTTCACTGTAGAGCCATATAGTAACCATCGGCGAAAATGAAAAGAAATTATCTTCTATTTTTTATGTAAGGATTCTTCTCGTAAAAATGTGTCATTGCTTTCTAAAAAACATAACACAAAAAAACTTTCTCGCTGGAAAATATTCAATAAATTAGAATATTTCTACCTCATTGATATTGACAAGACGAGCCAGCCATTTACGTATTAGCACTAAAACTAAATTTCCAATGTTTATAACTCGTGTAACAGTTAACGAGACAAATATTGTGAAAATACTTATAATTATTCGAAAATTACGTGCGTCGTGAGATTTAATACTCATTTTGTATATACCAGTATTTTGTACCTGCCCAACTATTATGTAATAATATGTAACATTCTTGTTACATAAGAACATGTAAGTTGACAATAATAAAACGATAATGTACATAACAATATGCGGGTTGTCAATATGTACCAACTCTTATATACTTCCAGGAAGTGCAGGAATGCCATCCGATTTTCTCTAATGCATCACGATGAACATTGTTCTGCGTTATAATAAAATTTCTGAAATATAGCGTTTACTATGGCAGCAACACCCGGGTAGCATTTCTCGACGCCTTTCCCGGCGTATGGCGGTAGCACGTCTGATAAGAACCTCGTGATGACACGCAATGAATGGTGAGTGATGAATGATGGATAAAGCGCTGCATATCGTAGCATGGGGCCGGTGATCACGGTTCGTTTAAAAGAAATATTCTTAGTTTACTTAGCAGGATTGATAAATTTATCCTATGCAGAATTAAGTGCCTTAATTGTATTCCGAGTCGCCACTTCCGACGCCCAGTAGGTTAGGTTAGATCTAGATCTAGGCTAGAAAATCAATAAAAGTCTACGTCATTTTCAACTCACATTATAAATCCATTTTATTTTTCATGTGCTACATTGAAAATTCAATTCCACCGCTGCCTGTTTTGTTCTGAAAAGTAATTTCGAGTTCCATATTTATTTTTGAATTTATAGCTTTTTTGTTATCGAACATGTTCAGATGAATCAGATATTATGCGAATCTGTACATTTATTGCCAATAATCAGTTCGTTATTTCTCGTTCTCTTTTAAGAAAACAATAAAATCGGTTCTCACCTTTGAAATTTAATATATTTTGTAGAATTTAGTAGAATCTACGATTAGAAAAGTTTGCCATCAAATAATTATGTTCGATTTTCTTCGGTTGGATCTGCTCGCGGGATAATCTCGACAGAAAACGGGTGATTTTCAATACACTCAATACTTGAGAGAAACTGGCCTTTCTGGATACCGACAGGAGAAGTGCAACATGAAATAAAACGATTTCTTGTTAAGAAGCCTGATAAATAATTAAATTTAAAAATTTTAATTGCATTAAAACGTGTGGGAAAATTTTTTATCGCTAAAGTTTATGATAAAATTGCTTTGAAAACCTCAGGAGTTAACCATGTTCCTTGATACGGGTATATGCATCATAGAATAGAATAGAATAGAATAGAAGTGTCGGCATTGAAGAAATAGGCCCATGGCCTGTTGCCGATTCTTGAATTTTTCGTGACTTGATTCACAAGGGATCCGGCCTTTGGAACCCGATCTTTCCATAACGACAATTGATTGAGATAGCTGCTGGACTTATAGCCTGGTCCGTAATTTGCTAGGCATTTTAGGACTGAACATATGCTCCTGCATAGCTTCGTCTAGACTGCTTTTGATTAACGCTTTAGTCTGTATATACTGTATATACGCTTAAGGTATAGGGGGTTATGCTTTAAATAATTTAATAGTCCATACCATTAGATTCAGGTATGCAGGCAGCATTTACTTATTTTCGTAGCCCCATCTATAATAGCTCATAAAATGATGCCAGAGTCAACTCCTGCTCCTCGCGCTAGTTTCCTTCCGTCTTCAATTTGCAGTAAAATTCCTCGTTTTCAGCAGCAGTCAAAATATTTACACGTCGCCGTAATTTTTGCGTGCGGGCGGACGGCGTAAGCTCTGTGATGCGGCGACTGCTTTGAAGACTTGAAAGTTATTATGCCTGAACATTCAATAGGCCAATAAAAAATTATCGTAAAATAATAGTCCTAATATGATCAATGTCATTTTATTCATACTAGAATAAAAGACGACCACTGAATTTTTCAATTGCAGTAATAGTTTATCCTAGTCAGTCAATTCCAGGGCCGGAATTTGAATGCATGAAATAAGAATTTTAATAGCCACATCAGTAGCTCTGATTTTTACCTTACAATTGGTTGTTCAAGATTACTCATGCACTCACTATGGTTAGAAAGCATATTTGAAAAATAATTTCGTTATTCTGATTGCTCATGTGGAAAACATATAAATTTCATATATCTATTCACAGATCGGCTTAATATATCGTGATGAATCTCACTCTGATAAACTGGCCTCAAAGCATTCATGGTATATTTGAATATTTTTTTACCTACCTTCAGTCCGTCATGTTCTTGTAATTGCTGCATAGTTTAATCCTACCACAATTAAATCGAAGGACATTACGAATACGTTATCGCTTAAATAAAAACGCACCTCGACGTTTTGTTTCGACGTTTTAATATCTAAGCCACCATGACGTTTCAGAGGCAATTTTATATCATTAAATTATTAAAGTTAGTTATAAACTACTCTAGGAAATAAATATTTCACTAACCTTAATATTTTTATTCTTCCCGTCTGCATTCGCGGATGGGTAGTTGACGGCCAATAGCTGCGTGTTGGGGTTGGCAGAAGAAACTTTGTAGCGCACGTCTCGGCTGAACATCGTGTCACGTCGCCCCTGTTCCACATCGTCCGACATTTGGAACTGATTTACGGTCGTCGAAGAGTCTAAACTTGAAGGACCCGAGTTTTCTTGAATACTGCACAGCGATCGACCGGTGGAAGAAGTTCCTCGATATCCGACAACGGATGTTCTCCAGCCGTAAGAAGAAGAATTGCCACCTCCACCACCCGGACATCGTGAATCGATTTCCTCTGCAACGCTGTCGGCCAAACTAATGGTAACGCTCCTGCTGCTACGAACGCTGTCCTGTCGCGGGTTGGTTTCAGCGGACACTGGATATTTCCTGTCAGTGGGCAGTGGACAGTCCCTGTCAGTAGAAAGGGACTCCGCTGCGTTGCGTGCACCATTTTTTGATATGTATTCCTCAAGTCCAATTGGCGTCAAGCCATTATCATTACCCGTGTCGTCGGCGGCGAAACTGACGCTGTGGGTGACCGGGATTGTGTTAACATCGCCAGGAGACGAAGACCCACGAATGTCAGTGGGTTTCTGTTCCTGTGACGAAGAGTCGACGCTTGCTGGCCTTGATGCCTCATCGTCACCTTCGTCCATGGCTCTCTGGAGCCACAGCTGACGAAGGTGGCGCAATGCTGGCTTGGATGACGAGGAATCTTTGGAAGAAGACAGTTTGGCGCTTGATGCTTCAATAGTTGATAAAACTCAACCTTATTTATCTGCCTCTCCACTGAATTCACATTCAAAAACTGATGATTATTCACATAGTTGAGAATTGAAAACTGTGATCAGGAACTCATTGAGACTACATAATGTGCGCCATATGTCAATGCGTAATCAAAGTATGATTTCTATTCAATCACTTTTTTCACAAAGCAAAACAAGCGTAGCACACTTTTCCAAATTTGTTCACATATCTGTCAATACCAAAATTAAATCCGATTTTTAAATCAAAATCTTCACCATTAAAACCATAATACAATCTGCCATGCTTTTTGCGATCAGTTTCTCATTTTTCTCTCGTTTATTAACTAAGAAAATTTTTCATATTTTATTCCATGCGATTTTATAGTAAACTGCAATAAAATTTAATTTCATTTCAGGTTTCAAACTCGTTCCATTTTTCACGCAAAATATTTTCATTTTTACTTGGAAAAGCAAACTAGCATAAAATCCTGTCATGGATTTAAATCTGTAGAAACACAATAATTTAAACTTTACGAAATAAAAATATCCACAATTAACCTCCTTAAAACTTTTTAGTTTCTATCTCGTTTACATACAAAATTTTTAATACTAACTGAGCATAAGCTAAAAAATTCTAATCAAAATATTGAACTATTCATACATTCAATCCCACGAATATAAATGTGTTCCGTGGTTCCATAATATTCTTGTTGTCATAAATTTATGGAGAAGCTCGGCGGGAAAATGTCATATTATTTCGATATTATTTACGCTAGTGTACCGATTTTCATGCAACAAATACAGGCTTGTTACAGCTATTTCATCAGTTACAGTTATCAGCAGCAGAGCCACACATCAGCAGAGGCTAGCCACAGGCTAGCCTCCGTGCAGCAAAGAGGCAGGGAGGCTAGCCTCAGTGTTGCATGTGTGTCGCACCGAGACAGGGAGGCTAGCCTCAGTGTTGCATGTGTGTCGCACCGAGACAGGAAGGCTAGCCTCAGTGTTGCATGTGTGTCGCACCGAGACAGGAAGGCTAGCCTCAGTGTTGCATGTGTGCTGCAAGGAGGCAGGGAGGCTAGCCTCGGTGTTGCATGTGTGCTGCAAGGAGGCAGGGAGGCTAGCCTCGGTGTTGCATGTGTGCTGCAAGGAGGCTGGAAGGCTAGCCTCTGTGATGCATGTGTTCTACACAGAAACAGGGAGGCTATAGCCTCGGTATTACAGCTGTAGGGGCTGCAAAATTGCTTTGAAGCCTCAACAGACCACGCACTTGTTAAACCAAATTGTACAATTAAGCAATTTAAAAAAACACTGGGAATTATCTTTTAATTCTTTGTCGGTAGGCTGTAATTCTAGTTATAGGGCCTTTGAATACGAATAGCTGAGTACAGCTAATGTATCCATAGAATGAAAGTGTACATATATCCCACGCAAGTGTATATATATAAAATGCAAACTCTTAATTGACTAAATTTAGTTTCACTGCACTACTCGTCACACAAGTAAAAATAAATTTAAACCAGTCGTGAATGTGCATCAGGAAAATGTGGCTAGCCTCAGAGGCAAAGACTTCTTTTCTGGAATTAATTTTATTACCGGTAAATCTGGATGATCACCAAGATCATTTTAAAGGATCAAAAATGCGGCATCACACATTAAACTAACTAATATATACCCTTAATTATTTAATGAATATATACCATGACAAATTAAACTAATATATACCCTGGAAGAACTAAGCCCTTTAGCTGTAATGAATATGAGATTTAGTTTCCAATATAATTAAATTACATGGATCAACTACCGCACCATGAAATTTCTGGTCGCAATGTTCCAAAAATTGAACGTCGAGGATCAAAGAAGATAAAACAGCTCCGAAAAGTTACGACTAATGATCTTTTCGCTCAACGATCACATTGAAGAACTTTTGATCCTACAAATCCAGGAAATTTCTTATATGTCGTAATCATGAAGCCAAGAGAATGACGAAATTTTAAGATGGAAATAACATTTTTCTTAGCTAATTCGAACCCAGTTTTAGATAAATACTTTTCGCGTTGTTAATTTTCGCATATCGTTTGTGAGAAGAAATGTTTCGCTGAATTCATCACTAACTTGAAGAATAATGTATGAGATACAACTTATCAAAACATCAAATTATACTGATAAATATTTATTATTTTTTCCCGTAAATATTTTTAAACAAGAATCTCAATTATGCCTGTAATTTAGAGTGGAATATACAATTTTTAAAATAGCATGTACTGACAAACATAGGCCGGCTTACACCAAACATATCACATGAAATATACGCCACTAGGCCTATATGACCGCATCACACTCAACTTAAGAATTGGCGCAATCCTGTGCACAGTTTCTCATTAGAAATGCTCACCAGTTTCTCATCCCCGCGTGAAATGTTTACATTATATGTTGTTTTGTTTCATTCTCATCTCCAAATAATTTTACATATGGGAATAAAATACATCTTTGTGTGCAGTTGCGTCTTTCATATTCACATATCATGCATTTTATTCAGCTGAGTTACATGAACCTCGTAATATGAGTCATACATGCAATTGTTACGTTAATGGAAACGCGATAGACCCCTCAGCGCCGTGCACTCCACAGGCTGTGCAAGCCACAGCGACGCACGGCCATTAGGCTGTGTAACTCGAGCGACTTGCCATTTGCACGTTAATGCTGCCACTGGCCTTGCAATTGCCACTATGCGGTGACTACGATAAATGTGATTGCGTATCTCGGGCTAAGATGTAAAGAATGTTACTGTTAATATCATCATGATAAGAATAATTTGAATCCTCTTCTACAACAGCTTTCTTCGTTTTTTTTCACTAAAATCTTGAAAATGAATCTTTTGAATCATCTCAGGTAATAGATTTCTTCATTTAAATCTTAAAAAATGGATCTTTTGAATGCTCTTAGACAACAGATTTCTTCATTTAAATCTTAAAAATGAATCTTTTGAATCCTCTTCGTCTACAAATTTCTCAATTAAAATCATGAAAATAATTTGTTATTATTGGGAGCTCTGTATAAGATAGAGTCTTTGAACTAAATTGGGGAAATGGATGAAGTTGTAAGGGTATACAAGCAATTTTTAAATTATTCATATAAATTTCAATACCGAATACTAAATTTGTAGCGCAATATTTCGTAAGATTAAATGTATTCATACAGTAGTTGAGTTTCATTGAACATGAATGAATTTTTCATTTGTTTCATTAAGATTGAAAATTAAAATTAATCATAAAAACCAGAAAATTAAAATTAATCATAAAAAACTCAAACTTCATGGAAGAATTTCTCTCCGCAACTGTAACGATAATCAGAGGAAGAAGTGGAGGTGCAATTCAGCGTGGAAGACGAATGATAGACATTGATGGTATTTGAAGACATGATTCATTGTATTATGGATTGGTTACACTTATTCATTTGTAATTTGTACTACCTAAGTAATTGATTAATTAATCACATTCTCACCGCTTGTAATAAATTTAGCCAACCACTTTGGAACATTTGGCACAATATTTTTATACTTTACGTATGGAGCTTGAGCCAAATGGAACAAGCTTATATCAAATGCATATAATTTTCTAATGTTGATGTTAAATGAACATAATTTGTGTTTTTTTGGGAAAGGTTTTAAAATATTGAAGTATGCATCCACTAAGTTAGACTGCACACGACGAAGTGTGAGCTGTAAGTTTTGCTCGGCAAACCCTAGCTTTAGCTGCTCATACATGATTTATATCACTATTGAAATATAATGCCAGGCGATTTGCCAACGATTTGGACGTTAAACCGTAATTTTTCATATATGGCCAAATCTAACATTTCTGTATTTCTTTGCAAAAACCAAGAAATATACATCAATACATTTGTACGCATCCTACATCTCCCTAATGTACTTCCAACGTTTGCATCTGATCGCAAAAGTTAAATGATGAAAATTTCGCTCACTTGCCACCTGTAACGCAATGCCTGGCTTCCATCCCCTTTACCTGGCATTAAAGGGGTTTGATCGCACCGCCGGCTACGGGCGAGCAAGCGCAGCAATATCCCCCTAAGGGGAGCTCACTATAATCCCTTTACCGCTCCACTAGTTCAGGGTGTGCGTAGGAATTGCCCTGTGAACCAAGAAACAATATTGGGCGTTTCGGTGATGCATGGTGACCATGAGCTAATAGAGAAAACACTCTACCGCTTGACTTGTGCAGAGTGCACGTAGGAATTGCATTGTAGACAATGAAATGCTGGTAGCATTGGGCGATTTGGTGATGCTTGGTAACGACGAGCGCCAAAAAAACCGTTAAAGCTTGGCTAGCTGAGAGTTCAGGTAGCAATTGCATTATAAACCTCTAAACATTGTTGGGCTGCTCGGTGAAAATTGGCGACCAATGGTAAATAGTCAAAGCACTTTACAGTTTGGCGAGCTAAGAGTTTAGGTAGGAATAACATTATAAAACTTGGCATCGATTTTATCAGTTGGGTGATGAATGCCACCCGCGGCAGAACAAGTGAGGTTAAACCCCCAATTGCAATGGCCCTGAAATGCTCGGCCATGCAGGTAAGAGATCAGGTAGGAAAAGTATGGTAAACCTTTAAAAATATTGGGGCGTCGATTTTATCAGTTGGGTGATGAATGCCACCCGCGGCAGAACAAGTGAGGTTAAACCCCCAATTGCAATGGCCCTGAAATGCTCGGCCATGCAGTAATGTTGAACCAATGGAACCTAGAGAGAAAACTACGCTCAGTACGGTGATATACACCAAGTGGTCGCAGGAGATGAAAACGAATTTGGCGGTCCTTGCGAGAAGTTAAAAGACCGCCTCTCTTTTTTCGAAGTGTCTAGAAGCTGAGTATAGCAACTCGAGACACACAATGGTAGTGGGCAACGAGGATGAGAGAACTACAATATAAATAGTTATTATGCATTCAACATATTGCAGAGATAACCAAGAACCGACAGCAGTACCGAGTATCTTCC